TGTCTGACATTTCTGTCACTTTAAAAAGGCAGGAGGATTCTATCTAATATATGACTTGTGTTGTCTGTTTTGGACAAGCACGTCAACTTCTCAGGGGAAATAAAGCTTTTTCAGGCATTTAGAAATTTATTTGATGGATCTTCATATTTGAGATGTAGCAGGCGGGTTCCTCAATAATAACTACCTTGAAAGAAACACAACAGCAAATCTCTTGTGACTTTTCCCCCCTGTATAAACAGTAGATATTATGCCAAAGCAGACATCTGTGATTCCAGTTCTTCAGGGATTCAAAACACTCAGGTCTACAGAGACAGCCTCCTATAGTTCACACTGTCCTAGATACACCACCACATTATCTAGAGGAATGAATGAATTGCATGTTCAGATTATTTTCCATAATGATTTTTGACACAGATGGAGAGCAAACTGCTCAAAGTTTCAGTCTTTGACAGAGGTATGAAGGGAAGAGGATCCGAGATCTTCCAGCTTTTTCTCCTGGAGTCTGAGGAGGTGATCTCTCCTCTCTTTTTGGGGCTTGGTCCTCACTCATCTGCCCTTGGTGTCCTTTGAGTCCTTTCTCACTTGACTGTTATCTTTCTCTGGACATCAGTGACTTTGTGTTTTCAGGGAGCCTGTCCACATTCTCAGATTCCTCCACTCCTTGCCCCAGGTTCTAGGAACGTGTGAATGTGGAGTGCGCTGGTCAGAGCCCTTGAAATTATGCAAGAGCCAGAAACCTAACTAGAACTAGGTTAGGATTAAGAAAAAAATCTTACAAGGCCGGCAGCATGCTGAACCCTAGAAGAGCAGGTTTTTTGCAGGGATCAGAGGCTCTGTCCCTGCGTCTGTGACTTCCTTCTCGTACCGACTTTGTCCACAGGGCCAGAAAAAGTGCAGCTGCAGCCTCCCCCCTCACATTTACACGTTCTGCCTCGGGAAGTGGCCAGGTCTCCTTTCCTATATCCAGTTTGAAAGGTCTTGGAGAAAGATTCATTTGGTCCAGCTCAGTTCAGCTTTAGGCCTTCTCTGTCCAGTCAGCCGTGCTCAGGGGCTGGGGCCACTACAGGGAGCTCCCAGGAACACCCCGTGCCAGGTGGGGGCAGGAGAGGGTCAGTTCCAGAGGAAGATGAGGCCTCGTGGACAAACACCACAACCGTCCACTCCAGGAAGGAGAGCATTCCCAGGGTCTTGGTTTCTATGTCTGTGCTTACTAAAGCCAGGGCTAGCTGGATGTTTGACACCAGAAACCTCTCAGGCCAGTATGAGAGATTGAAAACGAGGTGGTGGCTCCACACCCAGCCTTCCCAGAGGAGAGGGCCGATTCCACCCATCTATGAACCTGGAAGCTGGAGTTTTTATTCGGTGTCTTTCTTGGAAGCTCACTGGGAACTTTCCCCGGCAGGGCCATCTGTAATAAAGGTAACAGCAAAAGTTATAAAACTGTATCTGTTGACCACTTACATGCTGGTTTCTGTGCTTTTTCATATATTATTTCACAAATAAACCTATGAGAGAAAGGGTATTATATGTAACCTACCTCTCCCCATTTTACAGATGGACAAACTGAGTCTACTGACATTAAACAAATTGCCTAAGGTCTCACATCTATGAGGCTGAATGCAGACAGACTGTAGAACTGGGTCCTTAACGACTGACCTGAATTGTGGTTTTATCTACCAATACCTTGTGCCCAGTAAAGGAATACACTAGTATTTGTGCAGTCTAGACCACACTGTCCAATAAGGTAGCCATTAGCCATGCATGGCTACCAAGCACCTGAAATGTGGTGTTACTGAGGACCTAAATTTTTAATTGACATTTGTTTTAAAACTGGGCCAGGAACAGTGGCTCACACCTGTAATCCCAGCATGTTGGGAGGCCAGAATGGGAGGATAACTTGAGGCCAGGAGTTCAAGACCAGCCTGGACAACATGATGAGACCTTGTCTCTATAAGAAATAGAAAAATTAGCCAGTCATGGTGGTATGTGCCTATAGTCCCAGCTACTGGGGAGGCTAAAATAGGAGGATCGCTTGAGCCTCAGAGTGTGAGGCTGCAGTGAGCTGTGATCATGGCACTATACCCCCAGGCTGGGCAACAGAACAAGGTACCATCTCTAAAAAAAAAAAAAAAAGTTTTAAAACTGAACCACAGGAAAATATTTTTCTGTTAAACACCACTTTATCATTTTGATGGGACTGCATTTTATTACAAACATTTAAAATATGATATCTTAATTGGGATGTGCTGTAAGTATAAAATACACACCAGATTTTGAAGATGTAGTATGAAAAAAATGAAAAACATATCAGTGATTTTTAAAATAATGCATATGTGTCAAAGTGATATTTTGGATATATCACATTACACAAAAGATATTGAAGATAATTCTACCTGTTTCTCTTTTTTACTTTTTAGGAAAGTCTGACTACTAGAAAATTTTAACACATTGACTGTCATACTAGACAAAAAAAATTTCTTTGGGGCCACAGTGTTTTGTTATGAAAACATAATAAAAACTTTGAAAACAAAACAGTCCTTTCTAATTTAAGGAAAAATTTATTTTTAATTGTTTTATGTGTATGAGTTATATGCAACTTGAAAAACAGTTCCCGCGACTCCCAAGGTGAAGAGACGTGTGAGTCACTGTTCCACGAAGCCCCGGGCTCAAAACTAGCCTGAGTTAAATACAGCTCACTGGCAGGTAATGTGTTCAGTCACACACCTGGCTAACGTTCTATAGTTCTGTGGGACAAGAGAGGTTTAGTGTGTGATACGTCAATATTGATTTCAGAAGTTACCGGCTTATGCAGACTTTAGCCCTTGGTCACACGTGTGCCAGACATCAGGGCATTGTCTTGGAAGGGAGCCAGGCTCCTTAGCATGGTCTGGGCTCTGCTGTCCTTTCTGGCCCCCTCCCCACCTCCCACTGCTGCTCCAAGGCCTTGTGCTGTTTCCTGTCTCTCTGCTGCATTCTTTTCTCATCCCACTGTCAGGGACACTTTGGGCCACCCCTTCGCCTATGCATGTCCTGCCCATCCTTCCTCTCCCTGCTGATGCTAGATTTCCAGGGCTCCTTCCCCTGACCTCCATCACTGTGAGGAAGCCCCCCCCCCACTTATCCGCATAGCACTTAACGCACTCCCCCTTATTTATCATGTGATAATATTGGAATCCCCCAAACAATATTTTACTGTTTCATCTTTTTAACACTTCAGTCTTAATTGGATTTAGATTTCTTTTAGTCAAGGTTATAGGGTAGATACCTAACTTGATTTTTTCCGATGTCCATTGCCCCAGCCACGAGATTGTTTTATTTTACAATCACTGGAAATACATTCCGTGTGATGTGATAAATTCCGACAGAGTTCTGGGTCTGTTTCTTTATTATTTGTTGATTTGTTCCTGTTCCAAATTCATGCTATTCCCGAAGTTTCACGTTGTCTTTTGCTTTCTGGAGGGTGACTCCTCTAGTGCAGTCGGCTCTCTGTGTTCAAGCATCTGTGAATTCAACCAAGTGCAGATGGAAAACATCGCAGCATTCTCCGGCTCCTTAGGGCTGACGGTGGGACTTGACTATCCATGTATTTGGGTATGGGGAGGGGTGTCTTAGACAAATCCCCTGCAGATACCACAGGATGAATGTATTCTAGTTTTTTTCTCAAAATCGTTTTGCTCTTCAGCATGTTTTTTGGATTGGAGGAGTGGTCGGGCAGGGATCTTTTCTTAATCTTGAAAAATTAAGAAAAAATGCATAAGTACAAAGGATAATATATCAATATTATCAATATACCTGTGAGTCAAAATGACTAAATGTTAAGATTTTGTCACATTGCTTTCAGATCTTTCATTTTAAAAGAAACCATTTTAGGCAATAACTGCAGCTGATACTGAAGACCACAGTAAAAAGTATTCTATGTGTGTTGACTCATTTAATAAGACAACATTCTAGGAGGTAGAGTAGAATGTGTATGAGTTATAGGATAGTTATGAATACATTGTTCCAGTTTTGCAAAGGAAAAAAGTAAGGCCCAGAGAGGGTAAGTAACTCGTGTAAGGCTACTCAGCTAACAAGTGGCAGGGCTAGGATTTGAACCCAGGCAGTCTGTCTTCAGAGGCTGTGCCCTTAGTGTGTGTTGGTATGTTTCTCAGCTGACATGCTCTGTCCTTTTTTCCCATTCCATAGGTTCCTCCTTTCACTGAGGCAAATGCTTCTGTGATTTTATATTTTTACATCCATATTTTTAATAGTTTTTATTGCCTAGATAGGCATCTATGAACAATCTATAGAGTTTGCAGTGGTTTTAAATTTTCATAAATGGTATCATTGTAATATCTGGCAGTGTACTATTTTCACCCACCATTGTGTTTCCAATGGTGGTCAAGGTCAGGTTCTTCCATATTAGCCCCCATTATTCCATGCATTCTTTCTAGCCCCTGTAGATTGAGACAGTAGCTGTCTTTTCATCTTTTGTTGCAAACAATGCTGTTATTGTCATCTTTGTTCAACTCCTTCTTGGGGCAACAAGCATTGTGAGGGTTTAGGGAGGATACACCTAAAATAAGAAAAACCTTGGCATTTTGCTATTACTAGTTGTTGCCAAGTTGCTCTTTGTGGTATGTGTATCTGTGTACACTGCCACACGTAGGGTTCAAGCTTCCCTTTTCCCCACATTCTTGGGAACTCTTGGTTCTTCACTGTGAAATACCTTGAAAATACTGATTGGATAAATGCAAAATGGGTTTCTGGGTTTTTATTTTGAAAATTTGCATTTTCCCTATTACTATTAACAGTTACATTGAACACCATTTCATTTATTCTTTTTTCTATGAATTGACCTGCCCTTCATGCATTTTTCTGTAGAGTTGCTTGTCCTTTTTTTATTGGTATGTAGGAGTTCCTGTTTCCAATTCTAATCCTTTGTCACTTACATTCTTAAAAATTTCTCTGGGTTTTTTTGTTTTTGATTTTAACTTTTATTAAAGTGGCATCTATATAAATTACAATGTAGGTAAAACTGCCCACCTTGTATGATCTTTGTCTTTTGTGACTTCACTCCTTATTTCTGGTCCACAAGTATATTCTCTTTTTTTCTAATAGATGTAAGTTTAAAAATGTAAAATTTGGGCCTTTGATTCATAGAAGGGGAGGTTGATCTAAGCCCCGCTCTGTGGAATCCTTTCTCTTCTCTCCTCTCGCTGCCACCTTAATTATGACCGTCTCATGTCGAGGATTAGGATTGTGCCCTAATTTATCTCCTACTACTCTCCCTTCCAATGACACCCCCTGCTTCCACATCAGATCATCTTTTGTAGTTTTTCCTCTGTAAATATTGTGTGATGTGGGAGTCCCCATGGTGCAGAGGGAAAAAAAAAACCCTTAATTTCTCCTGTGATCTGCTTATGCGGTCTCTCTGTCACACATACCTTATTCCTTACATTGTCACCCTCACCTCTTTGCAGCTCCTACCATACTTTGCAGCGAAGTGGCTCCTTTGCTCGTGCCAGGGCTGTTGACAGGAACATCCTCCAGACACCGGGCTGTACTTAACTACCCTGAGTCTCAGCCATCATGTGATCTTATCGTTCAGCTTTCACTTTCTTCTTGTCCCACCAGACTCTAAGCACCGTAGAACAGGAGCGAGGTTGTTCAGTTCTTGCCCTGAAGCACTTAGTAGGATGCCAGCAGCACACAGGTCTTCATTAGATGCTCACTCACTGAAGGAAGTGAGATGCTTTTCTAAGGATTTTTTTTTTTTTTTTACTCTCCCACAAAGCGTAGTACAGAGTTATGGGCATGCTAAGCTTCCTGTATCACTTAACACGGGGCAGCCTGACTCCAAAGGTGGTAAGATCATCTCCACGCCTTTGCCATGATGCTCAGAGCCGACCACTGCAGGTTAATCAGGAACGTGGTTTTCCAGGAGTCACTGTCATTCGGGGACGTGGCTGTGGGCTTCACTCGGAAGGAGTGGCAGCAGCTGGACTCTGCGCAGAGGACCCTGTACCGGGATGTGATGCTGGAGAACTACAGCCACCTGGTCTCCATAGGTGAGGACGGCTTCCCGGTGGTCCGCAGGCTGTGTCTTGAGCGCCTTTCCTCGCTCAGTTCTGTAAAACTGTGAAACCTCTTAGACTCCAAAAGGGCTTGGCCTTGGGTTTCAGCAGTCAGAGCCTCCATCTCACTTGGATTATTTGTGAAGCTACCTGCCAAGCAGGACATCTGTTTTTTGGCCGAGATGTCCCATCTGTTTGCTTAGAGGGCCTGTGTGGCTCGGCACAAATCCCGTAACTATTTTTCACGAACAGGGTGTCAAGTCAGCAAACCGGCTGTGATCTCCAGGTTGGAGCAGGGGAAAGAGCCATGGGTGGAGAAGGAGGAGATGCGCAGGTGGAGCTTCCCAGGTGAGTGAACAGCCTGCAGGAGGTCACAGAGCAGGACCTCAGGTGCTTTCTCATTCCAGGCAACCATTCTTCACGTCCTTGGGCCTCTGCACGCAGCTGTGGCCATTTGGCCCCAGACCTTGAGATGCCTAAATGATCCTGTCACTTGCACACACCACTCACTACACAGTTACCTTCCTGTCCCTGGATGGTGGAGAAAGATGTCGTCTGTCTTCATTTATCCTTTTATTCTGCCCTGCTGTGTCTACCAAGACTTTGTTCAGTCTTTCTCTAAAATTTGTCTTCCACTTTTCCCCATGGTTATAGGTTTTCCCATGTGTTCAGGGATTCATAGCTTTGCCCTATTTTAAAATAGCTGTTATTTTGTGCCACTTATTTTTCTTTTAATCTTTCCTCCTCCTTTCTTTCACTGTGAAATGCATCAGGAACTTACTTGCTACACCTGTATTTCAGTTCTCATCCACTCCTTCACACCTGTGAGCAGGTGACAGCCATTCCTGTCCTTCAGCACAAATTGATGGCTTTAAATCACCACTGTGTCCCTTGTGTTGCATTTACTCTTATTGATTGCTGAGTTTCTGCTGTAGAAAATGAAGGGGCTGGGTTATTGAGAGCTGGCAGTCTTTTCTGTTCGATGCTAGTTCCTTCTCACATGCTCTGGCTTAGCATAGCTTGGTCACCACGGAATCTTCTCATTGTGCTGTCTTTTCTTTCTGATCCTATAGGTCCTTTTTAAAGCAATTCCTTTAATTTCCTTCCATTTTTTTCTGTTTCTTCTCACATCATCCCCAAACATACCATATGCCTGGAGGGTTTAATTACTAGTTGGTTATCTCGATTCTGTTACTGTTTCTAGTTGATCTTGGACGTTAATGCCGACTTCATTTACTTAATGCATCTGGTTACTCTGCTACCCAGCCTTAGTGTGTTACCTTTTATATGACTTTTAAATTTCTCCTCTTTCAAAACCATGTAATATGGTCCCATCTGCCTAACAGTTATAAATGCAGCTTCCCTCATCTCAGCATAACCCTTGGGGAGCAGAGCCTTTATTTCATTTGTTCTCATTGCCATGGGAAACTTGCAGTGGGCACTCACTAAATCCCTCTTCAAGGGAGAGATTTTCCTTTCCTTCCAGGACAGGTATTCTTTGCCAGGCATTTGTTCAGGGCAATTGCTATTCACTGCGGCTCCCCACCAGAGTCACGTGGGGAGCTCTAAAAATACTCCTGGCTGGGTCCCACTCTGGACAGTTTGATGGGGGGAGAGTAGTAGGTGATGGTCTTTACCTCTTGGGAATTCAGCAGTCGGGCTCAGGAACTGAGCTTCTAAACAGAAGGGTAGCCAGGGGTGCCATAGGTGAGACAGCAGGTAGAGTTTTTGGTTCAAAATGTAAGTAAAGATACAAGCATATAAGGATCTAAATACAGAATGAAGACTCTGCCATTTAAGATTCTCAAAGTGGATTCCATAGTGGTGTCGAAACCAACATGTCGAAGGACATACAACATGTGTGGATTTAGTGGGAGGCTGGTCTGAAGCCAGGCCCATCGGGCTATGGAAAGGGGCCCAGTGAGGGTCTGGCTATCAGCCAGGTGGGGTGTCCCGAAGGAAGTGGTGGTACAGACGTCAGAGCAGCAGGGAACCTGATTCTGGGGTCAGGATGGCTTGTACTTACTCTCGTGTCCTTCTATTGGACATAATAAAGATGTGGAGGTCCATGGCAGGACAAATCACTGCAGAGTGGACAATGAAGGATGTAATGCTTTGAGAAAATTAACTTGGTATGCAGAATGAGGGAACTTAAGGGGGAAAGGACACAGGAAGCGCAGACAGTGATGAGCCTTCCTGTACCCCAGGAATACAGCAAGGGACTGGCATTGCTTTTACTTCTTTCAGCCCGAGTCCTTAGCTCAGATTTCTTAAACACTCTTCTCTCTCCATTCCCCTGGAAACCCTAGTCTTTCTTTAATCTTTGCTCAAATTTCCTAAATGCATACCCCTCATCTCCTGCTGGGCTGTCCTTGTCACATCTACCTTCTCACATGGGGATATGCTAGAGCTGTCTGGGACTGGCCTGTCATAGCCAATTATGCCGGAACCTTCCCAGGTGTGCACTCAATGGCGACATTGTGGCAACTAGAAACCAGCCACAGTGGGGGACTGTTTCCACCGGGGAAGTGGGGAGCTATTGCAGATCAGGGGCTCCCCCTTGCATGCTATTCAGTGAGGTGGTTCATCGACACGTCCCTGCCTTGAAGCCACTTCCTTTCCAGTGTCTCTTGCTGGCTCACTTCGACTTGTCTGTTTCTTCTGCCAGTCTCCTGTGTGAAACTCAATAACAGCAAAGCTACTTATATTCATCGATGTTTTATCCCTTTCCTATGTCTTGCTTTTTTTTTCTTTTCAAAATCCAAGTGACTAGAAAGTTGTTGTCGTGGAAGAGTTATTATTTTAGCCTGGGCAATTAGGCTCAAAAGCACAAAATTAATCCTCCTCCCAACATTTCTGAAATAATTTAATTTTGTGATATGCTACTAGAAATATTAACAAGTTTATGTCATTTTTTTCCCTAGAAGTTTGGCAAGTTGCTACACAAGTAGGTAGACAAAAGGAACACCAAGACAAATGTTCAAGTGATGCAGGCCTAGCCCAGAAAAATGTGAACAAAAAAAATCTCCAAGGATGCAATGAACTTGGAAAAAATTCCCATCAGAACACAAACCTTGTCCCTTCAGGCCAACCAGCCCACACATGTAAGTCATGTGGAAAGAATTTGAAATGCAACGTGGACTTCAGTGCTAATGCATACCTTGCAAGAAGGAGGTTTGAGTGTGACAGACATGGGAACTTATTTCTCTATTCTAAGCTTGAAACTCCGCATTCTGGAGAGAATCCACGTGAATGTAGCCAGTGTAGAAAAGCTTTAAGTCACGACAAAGCCCTTAATGCAGGTCAGGGAAACAATAGCAGTGAGGAACCCCACACGTGCACCAAGTGTGGGAAAGCCTTCCCCCACATGTCACAGCTCATCGTACATCACAGGGTCCACAGGAGTGACAGATCCTATGGGTGCAGCAAGCAGGGGAGTAAGTTCAGCAATCAGGGAAATCACACAAAACAAGGACCCAGCGGAGACAGCAGTCGTGGTAACGCGACCTCCCAGAAGACGATTCGTGCTGCAGAGAAGCCTTATAAGTGTTTGGAATGTGAGAAAACCTTCTCTCACAAGTCACGCCTCGTGGAGCACCACCGGTCTCACACCGGGGAGAAGCCTTACAGCTGCCAGGACTGTGGGAAGTCTTTCTCCCGGAAGTCCTGCCTCATCATACACTACAGAATCCACACGGGAGAGAAGCCCTATGGCTGCAGCGAGTGCGGAAAAGCCTTTTTCCAAAAGTCGCATCTCATTCTGCATCAGCGAACCCACACGGGTGAGAAGCCCTACGGGTGCAGCGAGTGCGGGAAAGCCTTCTCCCAGAACTCGTGCCTTATCATCCACAAGAGGACGCACCTGGGAAAGAAACCCTATGCGTGCTCCGAATGCGGAAAGACCTTTTCCCAGAAGGCCAACCTCATTCGGCATCACAGAATTCACACCAGGGAGAAACTGCATGGGTGAGTGTGAGAGCAAGTCATCGTCAAGAAGTCACAAGACATCTGGAAATGAAAACCCGTGGATGTTCTGCATGTGGAAGAGCCCTGAGCCAGGCAGTCCATTGCCACCCTCTGCAGAGCGCCACACCAAACTGAAATTCTGACCACCTGGTAGATTAGGGAAAGCTTGTTCTGTTAACACTAAGGGGAGGATAATAGTGCACTAGGAGTGACATTTTTATAGCATATGCTTAATTCTAAAGGTATCTATGGTCAACTGTGGATATTAAGCTTTTAAATATGAGAATAGATTATTATATGCTTAAATCTTAATGATTTAAGCATCAGAACACTCCCAGAGGTATATAGGGGTTATGTTCCTGAGTGTGCTACATAATCTTTATTTTTTAGTTACATTGGTGAGCTGAACATAATTTTGAATTTGTAGCAATATATACCATAATATATAGAATAATATCAAGACTTCCTATACTAAAGCACACCCTTGTCTTTGTGTTATATATTATACCTGGAACAAAATGAATTTATTACCAAACCAGAGGTCCCTCTGCAGCACCACCTGCCATGTGTCCTGTGTGCTGGCAAGTATTCCAAAGCCCTGAGTCTGGAAGCTAGCAATCTCGTGGTATCTTTTGATACCTCTCAATCAACTGTAAGTTCTGTTTACATGTTAAATGTGTAAGGTTAGGGCTCCCATTTCAGGCAATCTGATGGACTAAGTGGAAGCTCTTCCACTATAAACGCTGGAAATGACAGGCAACACAAGGCTAATATTCTTTTCAATGTGTAATTCAGCTCATAAGAAAACAAGAGAAGTTTCCAGATGCCAGCTATGCAGAGGGCACTGAACACCAGAAATAAAATTTGTGAGTTGATGCTATGGCTGCACTGTAGGTTTACAGTTACAGACTATAGAGGACAAGAAACAGGCCTTGGGGCCACACCAGGCTGGGAGCTGGCCCTGCCATAATTCACAAATTCAGAACTTTCAAAAGGCTGTACACATCCAGGGAGGAGGTAGACCAGAGACCAAAAGCTTGTCTGTCTCTTGGTAGGCCAAGAGCTTACCTGGTTGAGTCACAAGCTCTGACCTGCATCTCGTGTAAGTTAGAATTTTGACTTTGTTCTATTCCTGTCCCAGTAGAAAAACTGAACAATTAACATAGAAATTTGTTACAACTTTGAAACAACTTTCAGAAGCAAACATATAACCTCAAGTAGAGTTCATCTTGTGTGGGGTGGGGTACACGGGAGATGTCTATACGTCCTCTCAATTGTGCTGTGAACCTGAAATCACTGTAAAAAAAAAAAATAAATAAAGTCTTATCTTGTGGTCTGTCTGGCCTGCTTAGCTATAATTCTTTCCAGCTTCTAGATCAGCTGTGATAGACGTATACCTTCGCCAGCCAGGAGGGCAGGTAAGCTGAACTTACCTGCACTGATTCTGCCCCTAAAATTCCTGGTTCCTGCATGGGGTATTCAGGAAATATCTTTAGGCCAAGGATGGTCCTTAGTCATAGTTTAGGGAAAAGTTCCTTTCTTGGAATCTAGGACACTGGCCTCGGAGGTATGATCAGGGTGTCAGGTTTTCTGACTGCAGTTATTTATACCAACTTACATGCCTGTTACTTGCAAGGCCACTTGGCATTGGTAAGTGGGGCCCCAGAGTTGCCACCTGGGGTCCTTCCTCACAGCCAGCTCAGACCCTCATGGACAAAAGACTCCAGAGGAAGATTCAATCTTATAGGATTCAAGAGTTATGTCCCCGGCCCTATAGTTAGTATATGAGACCCCAGAACTACCCAGGGCTTTTCTATGGTTTATTCCTCTGTCAAATATTAAGAACCACCAAGTTCATGGATCTTGAAATGAAATAGTAGGGTCTATCAGCAATCTGGCTGTAACGAGCTCACAGTCTAAGGCAGATACCAAAATTATTTTTTAGAGTAAGGAAAAGTACCAAGGAGGGCTTTGCAGAGAAAATGGTATCGGGGCTGATCCCTGAGTAGGGTAGGAATTGTCATAGGAGGAGAGAGGGAGTACACAGGGACATAAAGCAGCCCGAGGAGGGCGTGAGAGAGTGTGGAAGGCCTGCCTCTGCTCCTGACTCCCGTGCATCAGCTGCAGTTTATTTTACATACAGTCAGCCCTCTGCATCCACAGGCTCAATCAACTGCAGATAGAAGATAAGTATTTTTTTTAAATGAAAAATATAAATATGGCATAATGATTAATAGCATTTACATTGTATTAGGTATTATAAGCAATCTAGAGGTGACTTATGTATATGGGAGAATGTGCATGGGTTATATGCAAATATACCATTTTATATCAGGGACTCAAGCATCTGAGTTTTAGGGGTTTCCTAGAACCAGTCCCTTGTGGACACCAAGGAAAGACTGAATAGTAAAGTGCACACATCTTAAGTGCATCTTGATGGAGTTTTACACATGTTTACAGCCATATAATTACCACCCAAATTAAGATATAGAACAGCTCCAGTGTCTGGGCAATCTCCCCTGGGCCCTGCCAACCCAGATCCTTAACCCAGGTAACCACCATTATGACATCAATCATCAGCCACCGTTAGTTTGTCACTGGGCTTTGTTTAGATGAAACCACGTGGTAGGTACTCCCTGTATCTTGCTTCTGAGACTCCATATTACATCTGTGTTGTCCTTATTTTTTGCTGGTAGCAGCAGTTCATTCTCTTTTATTGCTGTATATTGTTCCATTGGGTGAATATGCCACAAGTTGTTTGCTGTTTGTTCATGGACATTTTCAATTTCTATTATAAATAGTGCTGCTATAAACTTCTTATACATTAATACTCGTTTCTCTTCAAAAGATACTGTGTGGCCAGAGTTTAGAGCAGTGGTTCTCAGCCAAGGGTGGTTTTGCACCCCTCAGGTCCCTCAGGGGACAGGTGATGTCCGATGATGTTTCTGATCATTGAATCTGGGGATGGGATGGAGGATGCTACTGGCATCTAGTGAGAAGACACTTGTGGGGCCTGAACCTCTTATAATGCTCAGGAGATACCCTCACAACCAAGGCCTGTCCAGCTCAGGCCATGAACACAAGCAGAAGGACCAGGCTGGGGTCAGCTTTTGGAGGTCCTCGTAGGCTGTGCTTGGGTTTATGTCCAGCAGGCACTGACTGGGGAGCCATGGATAGCTCTGGAAGGGCAAGATTTCCATCGGAGAGGAAAGTCTCAGGACAGATGCCACCACCTGGACTCAGCATCAGGTGAGATCAGCTTGGTGGGCCAGCCCCAGGGTCCTCTGGCTGACCACCCGTTGCAGGGCCCCCTGCATGTCCCGGTTCCGCAGCGTGTAGATGGCCGGGTAGAGCAGCGGCGTCAGGTTGATGTAGATGAGTGAGACCAGCTTGTCCTCCTCCAGGGAGCGGCTGCTCAGGGGCCTGGCATACATGGCCGTGGCACAGCCGTAGTGGAGCACGGCCACGGTGAGATGGGACGCCACTGTGTTGAAGGCCTTGCGGCGGCCAGCAGCACCCCCAACTCCCAGGATGACCACCAGCACCCGGGTGTAGGAGAGCAGGATCAGGACGAGAGGCAGCACGAGCAGCAGCAGGCAGGCCGCCAGGAGGACATGCTCCTGCAGGTCCCGGTTCCCGCAGGCCAGCAGGAGCACGGCTGGGAGGTCACAGAAGACGTGGTTGACAAGGCCGCCACGGCAGAAGGGCAGCTGGAATACCGCAGAGGTGAGGCCCAAGGCCAGGATGGAGCCACCCGCACAGCAGGAGGCCAAAAGGCCCCAGCAGAGGCCAGTGGTCATGAGCTGGGGGTAGTAGAGGGGGTGGCAGATGGCCAGGTAGCGGTCCAGGGCCATGGCGGCCAGCAGCAGGCACTCGGAGCCCCCCAGAGCCACGAAGAGGCCCATCTGGGCGGCGCAGGTGGAGGGGGCAACAGCCTGGCCCCCGGGGGGCAGGAGGAAGCCGGCCAGCATGCGCGGGGTCAGCACCAGCGTGTAGGCCGCCTCAACCGCAGATAGCGCCCCCAGGAAGAAGTACATGGGCGTGCGCAGGGCTGGAGCCACCAGGGCCAGGGCCAGGATGAGCAGGTTCCCCGCCAGCGTGGCCAGGTAGAGCGGCAGGAGAAGGGCAAAGAGCAGCACGCGGAGCCCCTGCGGCCACCCAGAGAAGCCCAGGATCACAAACTCCTGTGGGCTGGTCCAGTTGGACTCAGGCCAGTGGCACATGTTGGGGCCTTGGTGGGGAGGCAGACAGGAGCACTGGCTGGAGGAGTCACCATGACACCTCCCTCTCAGAAAGGAGTCCCATGCCCAGCCTTCCATGGCCCACCCCCTGCCTCCACATCCCCAGGGACTCACGTCCTCGTCCCAACCCAGGCTGGCCACCCTGCACTTCCCAAGGGCTAGTGGCCTCCAGAATTCAGATGCCAGAGCCACTGGCCACCCCTGCCCTGTGCACCTCCAGGCACCTGCAGACCTGCCCAACCTCTGCGCCCCACCTCGTCCATACCCAGGGAGCCAGGCATCCTGCCTCCCGGCCCCAGTGAGGGAAACTGAGCCCCTGGGAGGAAAATTGACTGGAGGGACTCTGGCTCCTCCCTGTGACCTCTGCATGAAGTGGGCAGGTTGCGAGTGACACAGATGGCCAGTCCTGCAGACAGAGCCCCGAGGGCTAAGGGGCTGCAGCAGTACTAGAATCTTCTGCTCATAAAGGCCCATCTGACCCCCTCCATACCTCCCAGCTCTATGCTAATGCACCACGTGTGTCTCCCTTCTAACCTGCCCTGGGTCGGTTCATTTGTTTTCCATTTCTTCTCCTTGGCTGAGTTCAGGACAAGCCCATGGTAATCCTGGGTCTGTCATCTCTCTGTTATTGGGGGGGGGGGACTACAAAGGAAGAGGGTCCACACTCTCCACAGGGAACAGCCATAGGGAACTACAAGTGTGTCATCCTGCATGAGACGAGCACCTGCTCCTGGGGCTCAGGTTGCAGTGACGATTCCCAAATTCATCTCCAAACCCAGTGCTGCCCCTGAGCGCACTTCCGCCAGCCCTTCCAGCCCCACCTGCCTCAGCTCGATTCTCAGTCATTTCTAACCCAGGCCTCCCCTCTGTTTGGGAGTGGAGCTGGCCTAGTGCCAAAATCAGAAGTCAGGAAGATTCTAGATTAATTCTGTTTCCTGTACCCTCAAGTATGACTGGGCACCACATCCTGTCACACATACCTCACACCGCCAGAGATTCTCCCCTTTCGTGATGCTCATTTTCTCTTTCCTGGTGATTCTGACAGATACTCGCTTTTTCTCGCCACCAACTAGCATGACCTTAACTGCCCTTTCCTCACCAAACGCATCAAGTCTGCACCCCTTAGCTCAGACTCTGGTCCTTCGCAACGCTGCCCCTCTGTGTGCATCCCTCACTTCAACTCCCCAGTGCACCTGTCTTTGGACATCCTGAAATTCCCTGGAGTCCCTCATCACCCACCTGGAGAAGTTCTATTCATCTCAAGGCTGCCCTCCTATGCCATGTCCTGAATGCCGACAGGTGTCATCCTCGAATCCCAGTTGTTATGGCAACTCCACTAAACTCAGTTTCCTGGAATCAAAGATTGGAGTTGTGTCTGTGTTGTTTGCTGAATTATCATTAAGTAATTGAATCAGTTACTCAATCCTCATTTCTCCCAAATTTGTGCCTCCTCTCAATGTCCCTATTACTGTCCCTAACAGGGTTTCTGGCCCTATACCCAGAGCCAGAGGCCCCACCCCTGTGCCACAGCGGATTGCTCCAGATTCTGTTGGATCCTCCCCTAAAAATGCCCCCTGACATTTACCAATGTGGCCACCAGTCTCAGATGGGGCACACGGAATCTGTCACCTTTGCGGTCAACACCTCCCCAAACCACTGGAAGCATGTCTACCTCCCTACCCCATCATCAAAGGTCAATCATCCTGCCTTCCTCTTGACTCCCTCAACTAAGAGACACATTCTCCTCTTCTTTTCATATACCCCAAGCCTTAAAACTTTACTCCTTTGAAACCCAAACTCAAGCTCACCTTCCCTAAGAGGCCTCACCTGGTCAGATGGAAACACTGCCTCAAGGCACTTACATACCTGCACAGCGGGTGTCCATCAACCCCGAGCTGCCAGGTCAGGCTGCGGCTGATGTCCCATTATCATCAGAGCCTTGTTATTTAGCCAATGGCTCCTCTTCCAACAGGAGGCTGGTGGCGAGTTGAGGTCAGTTGTGTAGAGCTTAGAGCAACAGCCACGGCATGGAGGACCATGAACCTGCTCTCGAGCATCGGC